TCTGTTTCTCACCCATCTGTTTCTCACCTGCCTGTCCCTCACCCGTCTGTCCCTCACCCATCTGTTTCTCACCCATCTGTTACTCACCTGCCTGTCCCTCACCTGTCTGTCCCTCACCCATCTGTTTCTCACCCTTCTGTTACTCACCTGCCTGTCTCTCACCTGTCTGTCCCTCACCCATCTGTTTCTCACCCTTCTGTTACTCACCTGCCTGTCTCTCACCTGTCTGTCCCTCACCCGTCTGTCCCTCACCCATCTGTCTCTCACCCATCTGTTACTCACCTGCCTGTCTCTCACCTGTCTGTCCCTCACCTGTCTGTCCCTCACCTGCCTGTCTCTCACCTGTCTGTCTCTCACCTGTCTGTCCCTCACCTGTCTGTCCCTCACCCATCTGTTTCTCACCCTTCTGTTACTCACCTGCCTGTCTCTCACCTGTCTGTCCCTCACCCGTCTGTCCCTCACCCATCTGTCTCTCACCCATCTGTTACTCACCTGCCTGTCTCTCACCTGTCTGTCCCTCACCCATCTGTTTCTCACCTACCTGTCTCTCACCTGCCTGTCTCTCACCTGTCTGTCCCTCACCTGTCTGTCCCTCACCTGCCTGTCTCTCACCTGTCTGTCCCTCACCTGTCTGTCCCTCACCCATCTGTCCCTCACCTGCCTGTCTCTCACCTGTCTGTCCCTTACCCGTCTGTTTCTCACTCGTCTGTTCCTCACCTACCTCTCTCTCACCTGTCTGTCTCTAACCTGCCTGACTCTCACCTGCCTGTCTCTCACCTGTCTGTCTCCACCTGCCAGCCCCTGTCATCAAAGTCCCCCCTCAGAGCCAGGTGAACGGACCTGGCAGCAGTCTGGTGTTTCTCTGTGAGGTCTTTGCTTTTCCAATGGCTCTGGTCGAGTGGAGGAAGGAGGGACGAGAAGATGTCCTACCTGGAGACGACCCACACATCTCCATCCAGGTCAGTCAGTGGTGTCCAATCCTGGCCGTCCGCGGGGTCACCGTCCCGAGTGTTTAGAGGTTTCTCTTCTCCTACACACCTGATATTAATCAGTGGCTGATTAGCAGTCGTTGAAGCAGGGAAACATCTACAACCCGCTGGAAGACACCGCTGAGGTACAAGTACCACTCGTTAAAGCAACAGTACAACCGCTTCACTCCTCTCGCCTTTTCAAAGACAATGAGTGTTTCTCAATGTCAAGGCGCCTGGCCAACGTTGCAACTTCTGAGCAACTAACCAACCATAGCTAACTGCTTTGGATATAAAAAACGTTTTAGAAATCAGTCCGGTAGCTACACTTAGCTCACTTACATTTAAATTTGAAATTTGCCCCCGAAGAATCTGCCAGCTCCTAATCCTCTGTATTTCTGAAAATACTGCGCTGTGTTCTGGGAACGTTTTGACCAAGGCCAGGCTACAAGGCACCTCCCGAGTATCCTTGCTCAGCTAGCTACACGGCTAACCAATGGAAAACAGACTCAGTGGAACATGAACACTTTAACGTGCCTTGGCGGTTCCTGATGACGTCATCTCCTAGGCAATCGGGGCGGGACCAAGGCATCAAGGCGAGGTTCCTTGGCATTGAGAAACACCCAATAACTGTCTGATAACCTGTCTCACAGTCAAGGGGCGGTCCTATGAAATTTGAGCTCTCCAGCTGGCTGCAGATTGAGAGGGCGGAGCTTAGTGACTCTGGAACCTATCACTGCATAGCTCGTAACAACATGGGATCTGTCTCTGCGTCCGCTGTACTGGGAATTCTGGGAGCAGGTGAGACAGAAAGCAGAGAACCAGATGGTCAAGGGTCTATTTAAAATAAAATTCACTTCTTCTAACCTGTCCCCATCTGTGTAACAGAGGAGCTGTCGTCCTACCTGGCCACCAGTGTGTCTGAGATGAACCAGCTGATGGACAACTACGATCTGGATTTCTACTGACCTATATTTGATCTCACTTCCTGTGTCCGGCAGCCATCAGATACATTTACACTGGCGAGGGGGAGGACGGAGGAGGGGGCTCACGCTTGCCCTCAAGGGACACACGCAGCGGGATATATGTTCGATTCCTGGAATAAGTGGAATGTCATCTGTCTCTCTCAGCTGTCCATTGAGGATGTCGAAGATGTGTGGATATTTGACCTGATGATCGTCGGATTTCTTCTGATTGGAGTGGGAGGATATCTGGCTTTCTGTAAAACTGGGATGACGGGAGCGATTGGAGGGCGACCCGCATCCATGGACGGCACCGTCCGTGTGGATACCTCACAGACTGGGACGTTGCTCGAGGTGAATCGCAAGCTGGACAATGTCTTAGCTGCGTTACCGGTGTTAGCGTGCAAGATTGATAACATCTCGGAGAGGGTCACCGGACGGTGTGGAGATGTTTAATCACCTAATTGGCTTCACTGGAGGACTTGAATGATCAATACAGACTTTAAGGCAGAGAGGGAAAATTATCTCTGCCTGACCCAAACAAAGTTCTGTTATCGAATCTGACGCCATAAGCAGCCTTGAGAAACCAGGATCCCTGCACACACCCCCCCACCCCCCCACACCCCACCCCACCCCCACCCCCACCTACCGGGTCTCATGTTGTGAACTGTGACGTTTGTGCTTACATGTCAGGTGTTTTTTTTGCATTGGAGTGCTACACCCTGCTGGTGTAGCCCTGTTAATGCCTTTTTTCTCCCTCCCCTGAACTTTCCTCATGTATTCCCTCATTCATCTACAAAGGAGCGCCGTCAGGGCTGCTCCCGTGGTCTGCCTGTATCTGTCCTGTCTATACAGGTGCTGGCCAGTAAATTAGAATATCATCAAAAGGTTGAAAATATTTCAGTAATTCCATTCAAAACGTGAAACTTGTACATTATATTCATGCAATGCACACAGACCAATGTATTTCCGATGTTTATTACGTTTAATTTTGATATTTATAGGTGACAACCAATGAAAACATCAAATCTGGTATCTCAGAAAATTAGAATATTCTAAAGGCCAATGAAAAAATGTTTGTTTCTCTAATGTTGGCCAACTGAAAAGAATGAACATGAAAAGAATGTGCATGTATAGCACTCAATACTTAGTCGGGGCTCCTTTTGCCTCAATAACTGCAGTAATGCGGCGTGGCATGGACTCGATCAGTCTGTGGCACTGCTCAGGTGTTATGAGAGCCCAGGTTGCTCTGATAGTCGTCTTCAGCTCCTCTGCATTGTTGGGTCTAGCGTATTGCATCCTCCGCTTCACAGTACCCCATAGATTTTCTATGGGGTTAAGGTCAGGCGAGTTTGCTGGCCAATCAAGGACAGGGATACCATGGTCCTTGAACCAGGTGCTGGTGGTTTTGGCACTGTGTGCAGGTGCCAAGTCCTGTTGAAAGGTGAAGTCTGCATCCCCATAAAGTTGGTCAGCAGCAGGAAGCATGAAGTGCTCTAAAACTTCCTGGTAGACGGCTGCATTGACCCTGGACCTCAGGAAACAGAGTGGGCCAACACCGGCAGATGACATGGCACCCCACACCATCACTGACGGTGGAAACTTTACACTGGACCTCATGCAACGTGGATTCTGTGCTTCTCCGCTCTTCCTCCAGACTCTGGGTCCTTGATTTCCAAAGGAAATGCAGAACTTGCTTTCATCAGAAAACATAACTTTGGACCACTCAGCATCAGTCCAGTCCTTTTTGTCCTTGGCCCAGGCGAGACGCTTCTTGCGCTGTTTCTTGTTCAAGAGTGGCTTGACACACGGAATGCGACACCTGAATCCCATGTCTTTCATGAGTCTCCTCGTGGTGGTTCTTGAAGCGCTGACTCCAGCTGCAGTCCACTCTTTGTGGATCTCCCCCACATTTTTGAATGGGTTTGTCGTCACAATTCTCTGCAGGGTGCGGTTATCCCTAGAGCTTGTACACTTTTTTCTACCACATTTTTTCCGTCCCTTCGCCTGTCTGTTAATGTGCTTGGACACAGAGCTCTGCGAACAGCCAGCTTCTTTAGCAATCACCTTTTGTGTCTTGCCCTCCTTGTGCAAGGTGTCAATGATTGTCTTTTGGACAGCTGTTAAGTCAGAAGTCTTCCCCATGATTGTGGTGCCTTCAAAACAAGACTGAGGGACCTTTTAAAGGCCTTTGCAGGTGTTTTGAGTAAATCAGCTGATTAGAGTGGCAGCAGGTGTCTTCTATATTCAGCCTTTTCAGAATATTCTAATTTTTTGAGATACCAAATTTGGAGTTTTCATTAGTTGTCACTTATGAATATCAAATTTAAATGTAATGAACATTGGAAATACATTGGTCTGTGTGCATTGCATGAATATAATGTACAAGTTTCACGTTTTGAATGGAATTACTGAAATATTTTCAACCTTTTGATGATATTCTAATTTACTGGCCAGCACCTGTATGTGTGTGTGTAACCTTGGCCAGGTTGTACCATGGAGTCAAGTTCCTATGCTCTGATCTGATCTGAGCGCTGGCAATAAAATTCATTCTGATTCTGATTCTGATTCTGATTCTGAAAGGGACAAGAGGCTGTCCTGACATCGTCATCATCAGCTGATCCTCACAAAAGCAGTCCGTTACCATGACAACTGACGTTTTACCTTCAAACGAGGGTCTTTGGCTGTACGGAGAAGCTGGAGACCTCTCGTCAGCTGAAGAGTTTTACTGATGGTGAAAGTAAACTACATTTTCAACACGAGTGTCTTCATCGGGGTTTGGCGCTTGTTGAAACCTCGGTTTTCTTCCGCCACCAACTTCTCCTTCTCCTTAGTCACACAGACCAACGCTTTGCTTCCGTTTTGGTTTTTCCTGAATTTCTAAAACACTTTTCTTGCGACCTTAAACACGAATTTAAAAAGCTTGGATTCATCCAATCCCAGATTTTTCTGTTAGAATCAAACTGTCCACACAGTCAAACTGTTCAAAACCAAACGATGTGTCCGAGATGCATCCCCAACAGACAGGGATCATAGTTACCATTTATTATAAAAATGATGACCCTGACTAGAGTGGTGTGGTATCTGACCCTCTGCATCAGTCTGCTGGACACAGCCAGACAGAGACACACTGGTGAGTCCAGTAATGTTGGTGCTGTTTTCAGTCCGTCTGCTGGATTTCAGAGTTTGATGACATCATTTTTAATGACCATGTCAACAAATGACGTTTCTTGTTGAGAGAAAAGGGAAGTCCTTCCACTTTTCACGGTTCTGAACTCATCTGGTTGGGTCTCCTGGTTCTCGGTACACTCCTGGTTGCTCTTTAGCAGAAGCCGCATTCTTTTCACGTCTGGTTCTGTTCCGTTCAAGCCCAAATGTTCCTGAACCAGCTCTGCAGACTAAAGGAGCTAAAGATCCACTGAGACCAGCGGCAGAAACCAGATTCTGTCGGGCTGTTTCCTCTCAGAGGAAACTAGAGCAACATGTGGTGGATCCATTACTGTTCACAGCCTTTGGCTCTGGTTCTGGTTCTGGTTCTGGTGGAGGCTGAAACACAGCTGCTGCTCAGAAACATTCAAACTCATCTCAAGAGTTTTCTAAAATATTCAAATGCTCATAAATAAATATAAATGTAGAGATGAACTTAGAAAACCGACTATGGTCAGAATAAACACACACACACACACACACACACACACACACACACACACACACTGAACTGTGCTGCTGCTGTTGACGTGTTTGCGTGTCAGTGAAGTTTCTGTGAAAATGTGTTTCTTGTTATGAAACAACAAAAGAAGAACCCGTGCTGAGTGCATGCGGAGAGGTGGGGGGTCAACTGACTTACGAACTTTAACACAAATCAGATTTTGGTCAAAACAATAAAGGGGAAAGAATGCAAAAATGTACATTTAGCATCTTTTTTGTGTGTGGGCCTCTACTGCCTCTTTGTTTTTAGCTTCAGGATTTATGTGCCTACAACAAGCTGTTTCAATGGGTCCTCATTTGTGATGTCACAAATAACAGGAACACATGGACGTAATTTTCACTTTAGAAGTGGGGGGACACGGGGGGGGGGGGTCTTTATAGTATGCTGTAATGTGAAACAGGCTTCAACACAAACGGTTGTTTTCCTCTTGGTCCTAGAGCTTAACCAGTGTCAATTTAATACAGCGTAATATTGTTTTTGGTTGGTAAAAAGTGCAGGGGTCAAACCTTGACTTTGGAAAAAGTGGGGGGACATGTCCCCCCTGTCCCCCCCAAAAAATTACGTCCATGCAGGAACACCTCTCACATGCAAGAGAGTGCTGCTGCTGAAGGATTCAGGGCAAAGAACCTCATAAACATTCAGCATCACCCCTCCCTGCCCTTAGACATCTTCCCTTAGAGGTTTCTGCTGGAATCAGGAACCCACACTGCCAGAAGAAACGAGAGAGCACTAAACATCAGTCACCATTTTCTAGGTCCAAACGTCTTTTGTTGTTCGTGACTTCAAATGGTGTTTTTCATTTTCGGACTCTTGTACTTTATTTAAAAGATGAAGTGGTTACCTCTGCTTCCAAGGTTCTGTGTTGGGGCCTCTGCTCTTCCTCCTCTATCTGCTTCCTCTTCAGCACATCCTGAGCTCCTTCAAAGGAACCATCTTTATGCAGATGACATCCAACTGTACATCTCCTTTAAGCCCCATGAGATGTCTAAGCTGCAGCTGTTACACACCTGCTTAGACTCTATCAAAGCCTGTATGGTGGGAGCTTTCTTCAGCTGAATGAAGACAAGACTGAGATCCTCATCTGTGCCCCAGACAAGCTGGTTCCCAAAGTCAGAGACTCTCTTGGTCAGCTTGCTTCTCACACCAAACCTTCTGTCAGGAATCTTGGCGTGACCTTTGACCCAGCTCTCACCCTGGATTCTCATGTCAGTTCTCTTGTTCGCTCTTCCTTCTTCCATCTCAGGAACGTTGCTAAGCTGAGTCCCATTCAGAGTGGAACAAGGCCCACTCGGAGTCAATGTCCCCCACTGCTCTCGGGACGCGGCCAAAGCTCTGCCGTAGGTGGGAGTTGAAGACCGTCTTAACAGGTTCTTCTGCCAGGCGTTCCCAGCAGACCCTCACTATGCGTTTGGGTCTGCCAGGTCTACGCGGCATGTTCCCTTGCCATCTGATCCAACTCACCACCAGGTGGTGATCAGTTGACAGCTCTGCTCCTCTCTTTACTTGGGTGTCCAAAAAATATGGCCGCAGGTCAGATGATACGACTGCAAAGTCTATCATCGACCTGCGACCTAGGCTGCCCTGGTACCAAGTGTACCGATCGGCATCCTTATGTTCCAACATGGTGTTCGTTATGGCCAAACTGCGGCTTGCACAGAAGTCCAATAATGAAACACCGCTCCAGTTCAGATTAGGTGGGCCGTTCCTCCCAATCACACCCCTCCAGGTCATGCTGTCATTGTCCACGTGAGCATTGAAGTCCCCCAGAAGGACAATGGAGTCCCCTGATGGAGCACTATCTAGCACTCGTCCCAGGGACTTCAAAAAGGGTGGGTACTCTGATATTTGGTCCATAAGCACAAACAACAGTCAGGACCCGTTCCCCGACCCGAAGGCGCAGGGAAGCTACCCTCTTGTCCCCCGGGGTAAACCCCAACACACAGGCAGAGAGTCTTGGGGCTAACAAAAAGCCAACCCCAGCCCTCCGCCTCTCACCCGGAGCAACTCTAGCAAAGGAGAGTGTCCAACCCCTCTCAAGGACTTGCGTTCCAGAGCCAATGCTATGTGTCAAGGTGAGTCCGACTATATCTAGCCGGTACCGCTCAACCTCTGCCACAAGCTCCTGCTCCTTCCCCGCCAGCGAGGTGACGTTCCATGTCCCAAAAACCAGTTTTCTTGTCCGGGGATCGGACCGCCAAGGCTCCCGCCTCGGTCTGCCACCCGATCCACACTGCACCGGACCCTTCATGTTCCTCCTGTGGGTGGTGGGTCCACAGATGGATGAGCCCATGCATCCGGTCCGGGCTGGGCCCGGCCGGGCCCCATGGGCGAAATCCCGGCCACCAGGCGCTCGCTCACGGGCCCCAAACCCAGGCCTGGCTCCAGGGTGGGACCCCGGTAACACTCCGGGCCGGGTACTCCGACTCTTTGACTTTACCTTCATGTTATTTTTGTTTCTTTTTATTTCCACAACGTATTTATAGCTATACTATGTTAGAATATTATTAAGATGAATAAAAATGATGTTTTAGGCTAAGTTGTTGTCAAATTTTGTCATTGCATCTTTAATGTAAACTTTGCTGGCTAATGTCATGTTGCCTTAAATCTACCATGATCTCCTGATGCTGATTGTTTAGTTAATATATTCAATGATCGCTGTCTCTGGTCTAGATGAAAAAGTAAGTAAAAGCTCATTAAAAACAAAAACGATCATAAATCAAATCAATATAGATCATTAGATATTTTTCCCATCAATGTGCGCTCCTATAAAAAAGCGAAATAATTGATGATGACTTCTGTCACTGCGGCTGCACTTGCAGTTCTCCCTCCGCGCCAGCAGGAGGCGCAGCCACCGCCCACAAACACCCACCGTATCATGTTCCGGATCTAGCTTTAGCTTCCAGCTAAACCATAAATAACTTCATATTTTCGAGTTAATGTCTGCTCTTTGTGATGCTGAGAAGTCTACTAACCAGAGCAGTGAGACGCAGCAAAAGCGTAAGATTATTTTTGTTGGGATACATTTCTTCTTGCTCGCTTAGCAGATTTACACGCGAGACCACATTTCAATTACTTAAATATTACAATTGTTTTCGTTTTTAACTGAGTAAGATGTCGTGTGTTTTGAAAAATTTTACTGCAAATTTAATTTTAAACGTGTATTTTAATTCGGCATCGTTCTTAATTGATTATATGCTTTCAATATTTTCTTAGGCTGTTTAAACTCATGCAGTTTTGTACATTTCCTGTTAAGAGGTAATCTATGAGGCCAACTAAAGTCTGTATTGTTTACTTATTTGTTCATATTTTGATTATAATTAGTTAGCTAAAATCACGATCCTGGTTTTGATTAAACAGATTTTAGGTGAAAACGGAGCTGACTGAGTCTCAAGTTAAAACATTTAAGTAAAATCAGGATAAAATTCAGAGGTTTGTTGCTCTGACTGTATTCTAAATGAAGCTTTGTGTGCAGAGCTCATCATGCTGAGACAGGCTCGGAGGACAGACAGGTGAGGGTTGGTTGGGGGGCAACACGTGCATCTTTAGACCCCATCAGCTGTTTCAGAATCAGCTGCTAGGGCTGGGCAATATGGCCTAAAATCAATATCACAATATATTGAGGATTTCACCTCCATAACGATAAATGAGCGATAACTCAGAATCAGAATCAGAAAAGGTTTATTGCCATTGTTAGTGAACAAACGATTCACAAACTAGGAACTTGCTTCGGTACTAACGTGCTACATATGACATGAATAATATAATAAAAAAATAGAATAGAGTAGAATAAAGTAGAATAAAATATAATAACTAGCATAAAACTTTGCTATAAAAAATGGCAGGTAATGGTAATATGGCCGATAACGTAACGTTATGTCAAGTACCGAAGACGAGCATGGTTGTGTATTTATAAGCTGTTCACAAGTCTAACGGCAGATGGAAAGAAGCTGTTCTTATGGCGAGAGGTTCTGGTCCGGATGGACCGTAACCTCCTGCCCGAGGGAAGCGGCTCACGATAACTGCATGTATGTGCAGAAACAAAAGCTGTCCACTAAAGGGGGCTGTCACGCGTATTATTTTGGCTTAAGTTTTTACACGACTCAATGTGGTATCGCTTCTTGAATATCACCAACCAACACACGTTTTCACTTTATTTCAATTTTATTTTTATTTATTTTTATTGACATGGGATAAACGACATCAATAAGAGTCAGAAATTTTGATAACAATACATTTTGTATTTATTGCCCAGCCCTAGTCTGTACGTCATTCCTTTCTCAGGTACTTCCTGTTTACACTCTTCATATGTCTGCTCCACCTGCAGGTGTTTCCTGCCTTCTGCAGGAGGCAGGGTGCCAAACGTTCAATTACCAGTGAGTCCTGTTCAGAGGACAGCGCCTCCACCTCAGCAGGTATATAAAACAAACTCGCCCTCCTGCTGTCATGGACCCATTTCAGTCTGTTCTCTTCAGGTTTCAGGGTCAGGTGGTTCTGACTGCTCGTTGCGCTGCAGCGATACCACAGAAGAACAGTGGGGAACAGGTGGGCAGAGCCATGCAGGAGGTCCTGGTTCTGATCTAGATTCAGGAGAGCCACGACCGAAACAGGCGAGACGGGATGGGTGAGCGCACATTTTTCTCTGTTTTTCAGAAGGAAAGGAGATAACCTGGAACCAGGCCACACTCAGAGAGACATCCAGGCTTTAGAGTCTAATAAGAGAACCACAAATTTAAACACAAGGGCCCTCATTGATAAAGCTTGCCTGCACACAAAACTGGATGTGAAAATTGTCTTTTTCTACTCAAACTTTGTGGTTTTTAAAGAAAACTTCAGGTAAAAATGTGCTGACGCAGGTGTAAGCAACAACACAGCCATTGAGATGGCAAAATGGTGAATTAAAGCTAAATTTTCAGGCTAGTCATTAAAGGGGCATTATGGAAGTCTGACGGCCAAAACATGTATAGAAATAATAAACGTCTTCATACATTCTCCTGCAATGCCCTGGTCCTGTAGAATGAGCCCTGGCATTTTTACTGTGATTGCCTGTTTTTCTGTAAAATCACAGAAAAAGAGAGATGCTCGGGTCGAGCAGGCTGCTTCATGCGCGTTCACGCTCAGGCATCGCCCGTAGCGTTCGCTATCCGTAGCTTTAGCAGCAGAGAGAGAGGCAGTGCCACTTTGTCGCTGTTCCTAACGCCTAGTGACAAAGCTAGCTACATTTCTGAGGACCCTTAGCTACTTTCTGTAGAACTTTCTTCTAGATATTTCCTGCTAATTAGCAACAAAATAGCCATTTTCACTCCGAACCGTTCTTTGAACGTTGTTTCAGCTGTCATCAAGGATATAAAAGTTACAGATATTGTGAATGTTACTAGAGTGTAGCTCACCTAGTAAGATGTCAGACTCTCGTGCAGAAGTCCTGGGTTCGATTCTGGATGTGAACATAGTTCATTTAGAGTTTATTTTTTACATTAATGGTATATTTTTTACAGTAAGATGCCCAAATTTTTATTTGACACTTGCCGAACGGCATTGAATTCACAGATAAAAAAGATGTGGGTTCAACTTTCATTTTGGAACAATTTTTCAAGCAAGGGAAGGGAATGATCTGAGCATGCAGGAGGACTGACCCATCATAAACCTTTGTCGGCTGTGCTGAAGAGAAAGCTACAGAACCAAATTATTTAATTAATTAGCTGCTTGTTCTCCTGTCCTCTGTCCTCCGGGCCACACACACACACACACACACACACACACACACACACACACACACACACACACACACACACACACACACACACACACACGGGACTGTCTCAGCTGTTATTTTCGTTAAGGAGTGTGCACGTACAGCATGCGCGCCTCGTGCACGAGCCTACTATTGAAGCTGCCGTTACGCTTTTGGCCTGAGGGGGCGATCACGAGCATAAAAATTCAAAAGTCCATAAAGTCCATTTAAATCAAAAACCAAAGAAGAAAACATGAAACCAAAGCACAACAAAGTAGAAAAGGTGAAATAAAATGAATCTTCTATTAGAAGCTGTCATCATGGAGTTGCTTTAAGGGGAACCCTGGAAGAAAATGGCTGGCAGACCAGCGCTCTTCTTCAGGCTCACGTTTTAATAAGATCTGTGACATGTTTAGTTCTGTGAAACAGAACCAAACAGGGTCATGGTTCTGGAGGTTCATCAGGCCCGCTGTGTTTCCAACAGGAACCGGGAGGCTACAGCTCTGACCCATAGAGACAACATCCCCGGGTCATGTGATGCAGCTGAAGGTGTGTGAACGCTGTTCATCAGAAGGTTACTGAGGTCAGGAAGTCTGATTGGTGGACTGGTTTTGTTTTATTGGCTGTTCCAGGTCCTGACCAGCAGGGGGCAGCAGAGCTCAGCGAGGACACCCGAGCAGCTCAGGTAAAGAAGTTCAGCTGTGCCGGCTTAAACAACAAACTAGCATGTTAATAATGTGTTATTAACATCTTTTTAATGTGATATTGTGTTATTAATATGTTATAAATGGCTTAACATGTTATTAAAGTAACGTTAACAGATAATATAATGTTACTAATGCGTTATTTACACGTTACTAACATGTTGGCACCTTTTAACATATTGCTAATGTGTTTTAGCTGCAGAGCGTCGGCTCTCTGAAGGTCACCATCCAGCAGAGCAACGAGAGTCGGGAGTTTGGACAGACAGACAGACCGGCTGACAGACAGCCAGGTGGACTTCACTGTCATGTCTGCGGCCTCACTTGTTGCTCTCTGCAGGTGAGAACTTCACCTGTACAGGTGTCTCTATTGTGTCCCATGTTGTCTCAGCACTGATGGTCATGAGGCAGATGGACACGTGTCGGTGCCACAGCTCCATCTATACCTTCACAACATGAAGAGGATGGTCACAAAGAACAGTCGGTGATTAGCTGTGACCAGGCGTCCAGGAGGTCATCGGGGGCAGAAAGACACGAGCACAGTTCAACGAAGACGGAGACAAAAAGACCAAAATCTCAACATAAAAAGCAAAGATGAAGGAAAACAGTCAGAAAATGACTAAAACTTGTTACCTGTCCAGGTGTTCATCATGCTTCATGATCAGATGAGTACAGGCTATGGTGTGTGTGTGTGTGTGTGTGTGTGTGTGTGTGTGTGTGTGTGTGTGTGTGTGTGTGTGTGTGTGTGTGTGTGTGTGTGTGTGTGTGTGTGTGTGCGTGTGCGTGTGCGTGTGTGTGTGTGTGTGTGTGTGCAGGTGTTTCAAGAGCACATGTCAGGACAAGAACACCTGAGGAAACTACAGGAGATCACAAACGACATCTGTCTGAACACACACACCCTGCTGCAAAGGTATGAACACACACTGTTATACAGGTAGAAACACACACACACACTGTTATACAGGTAGACACACACACACACACTGTTATACAGGTAGACACACACACACACACACACACACTGTTATACAGGTAGAAACACACACACACACTGTTATACAGGTAGACACACACACACACACACACACACACACTGTTATACAGGTAGACACACACACACACACACACACACTGTTATACAGGTAGACACACACACACACACACACACACACACTGTTATACAGGTAGAAACACACACACACACTGTTATACAGGTAGACACACACACACACACACACACACTGTTATACAGGTAGACACACACACACACACACACACACACTGTTATACAGGTAGAAACACACACACACACTGTTATACAGGTAGACACACACACACACACACACACACTGTTATACAGGTAGAGACACACACACACACACTGTTATACAGGTAGGTTGGCACTGATAACCGTGATGTCATCCAGTCTAAATTTGTTATTATTTACATGCAGATGGTTCAAAGCTTATCTCACTAATCAAACTGTGTGTCAAAATAACTAGAGATGGACAATATATCGGCATCAATATCGGTATCGGCCGATGTTAGTCATTTTTAACATATCGGTATCGGTTCGATAAATAAAACCGAGCCAATATTAACAACCGATATTTTTTCCATCTGGTCTCCGTTTGTTTGCCGTTTTCAGAGCGCGAGGGGGGGGGGGTGTAATTGTTTAGTCATGTGAACTGTGGATGAAATCATCTCAGAACTGTAAATGTGTGTGTACATAATAACGTTAATTCAGCTTTAAGGATTTTCATTCTATACAAAATCTGCAGATTTTAGAAGCATTAATGTCAGTATATTGGTATCGGCAAATGTCGGTTATCGGCCACAACGGTGTTCTGGATATCGGTACCGACCCAAAAATTCCTCATCGGCGCATCACTAAAAATAACAGATCTTCTTTTAAAGATCTTGTTATCGGTGTACCGCAGGGCTCGATCTTGGGTCCAGCTCTATTTAGTCTTTACACAAACGACCTACCGTCTGTGTGCCGAGGTTGTGACGTGCCTATGTATGCAGACGATCCCGCGATTTTTGTTACCCCCTGTATTGTTTTACCTGTATTGCTTTTAAAATGTTTATACTTGTTATGTGCCTTTAGGCGGGGGGACCACCAACGGAAATGAGCCTTTTGGCATTTACATGAATGCACGCCGTCCCCCTACATCAAATACAAGTTATTCATTTATAGCTTTACTATGTTGGAATGTTGTTAAGAGGGAAAAATAAATGTTTTAAGCTCATTTGTTTTGTAGATTTGCCTTAGCAGCTTTAAAGGACCGGTTCTGGTCCAGAAGAACAACAAGGTTCCTCACGTTTAATAAATGACTGTGGAGCTCAGGTCCAAAACCCGCAACCTCTGTCAGGTCTGAGTTTAAGAATAGAAAAGGAGATTCACCCACCCCTTTAAGACATGATTGTAATCTGATTACATGAAACGGATTAAACTCATCAGGCTTCAGCACAGAACCCTGAGGAACGCCATGACCAAGTCTGGTGGAAGAGGAAGACCCATTAATATAACCTGTCTGCCTGCAGGGGGCGTCGGCCTAATGGGCAACATTGGTGTGATACCTGTCAGGTCCACTTCTCAGATGATGTCATCATCCACCGACGCTCTAAACAGCACAAGGTAAGACAGCAGGTGGTGAGCTGGACGAGCCTTCATGATAATTGTGTGTGTGTGTGTGTGTGTGCGTTTGTGTCACAGGTGTGTAAACAGCTGGGTCGGCCATTCTGTCCCGTGTGTAAGCGACACTTCAGGACTCCCAGGAAGTTTGTGGAGCACATGAAGTCAGCAGAACACAAAGAGCAGGTGGGCGGAGCTAAGATTAAACACACACAGACCCTCACTGTCATTGTGGTTGCTTTATGATGTTCACCAGTCTTTCATGAACCCTCCACGCCTTCACGTGTCAGACGTCTCTACCTGCCAGGTGCGCTTGGCCGAGGTTCAGGAGGAGGAGCTTATCACCGTGGATGCTGTTGGTTGCTTTGAGGAGGAAGAGCAGCGAGAAGAGGAGGTGGAAGTGGCAGATGAGGAGGAAGAGGAAGAGAATGAAGGAATAGTTTCGGGGTCAGAGGTTAGTGCAGAGTCATCCTGAAGGTCTGAGGATGTTGGTGTTAGCGGACCAACCCGATCTCACCTGTTTGTTTTACAGACCGGAGTGGAAAAGGAAAAGGATGACGAGGAGTACAACCCTCATCAAACCTACGGTAAGCTCATCTGGGATTCTCACCAAACAGTCCAGAACTTGACACGGCAACGCAGGATGCTAAATCAGAGTCAGTCTCCATAAACAAGACTGCTCAGACCACTTTTGTTTAATAATGGAGACACCGCGGACTTCTCCCTGCTCTTTTCCTCGCCCACGTGCTTGGAGATACGCTCATGGCTTCACAGACCGCCCACGTGCTCAATTACGTCCTAAGGCAGCGTGGAACGAACGTGGCCAGGCTGGGACGAGTGCGGCGGAGGGGAGTGAAGCCAATGCTAGTGTGTAAGTGTCCAAAAACACACAAGTCCAGACCCGGTCCTCCTTGTGAATCCGAACACATCTGGATCTACCTGAGGAAACGGCAAACTCCTCCCCCTAACACGCCTCAATCTAAACATGCTAATAGATGCTAGCACAGGGGTCACCCACTCTGGCCCTCAAGAGAAAGGTACAGAACCAAATTATGTAATTAATTAGCTGCGCGTTCTCCTGTCCTCTGGGCCACACACACACACACAAGGGACTGTCTCAGCTGTTATTTTCATTAAGGAGTGTGCACGTACAGCATGTGCGCCTCGTGCACGAGCCCACTTTGGAAGCTGCCGTTACGCTTTTGGCCTGAGGGGGCAATCACGAGCATAAAAAAACTCAAAACTCCGGAAAGTCCCTTTAAAGTCTTAAATGAGCTTTTCCAAATTTAAGGCCTTAAAAATCCTTAAAAATGACAAATAATCCTTAAAGACAGTTTCCAAAGGTCTTAAATGACCAAAGACCCAATAAACAAGATTATTTTGTTTCTATAAAGTTTTTGTGAATTTCTAGTTAGTGTTCAGCTTTTTTGTGTACGATGTTGCCGTAAGCGGAACCGTACACATGCAGTTGGTTGTGAAAGGGGGGCTATTTTTAGATGAGCACATTAGCTGGTTAAGCTAGTGGGAGCTTGCGCCATGGGGAAGTGCAAGTTTAATGGTAACTGGATGGCTAATCCCACGTTTACGACGTGGTTAGCACCGGTTCCAGGGAATAGCTGGAAATTATAGCTTAAACCTGCAGATACCCTGAAATAGTATGAGGGTCAGCAGCTGAGCGAAGTGGGGACCCCTGGATGTCGGGTGTGGGTATGCAACCCTCTGATTCCACACACCAGGATCAGGAGTTCTGGCCCGGACCAGCACTGACCAGAACTTTGCAAACTGTGTTTCTACAGGAAGTGGTTTTGTGGTTCCTGTTTGTGGGTTTGTGTGCCGACTGTGCAACAGGTTCTTCTACAGAGAGGCGGCAGCCCGACACACACACTGCCGCACACACACACACTACCTGAACCTGCAGGTAAAACTCTTCATCTGTTTTCAGGAGATGCTGACATGTTCTTGTGTTACTGCTCAAGCGGAGACCTTCTGATTGAAGGTCCTAACTCTGACCCAGTATGTTTGTTTGTTTGTATTCCAGAACCACAGAGCCCAGCAGAAACCACAAGAAGACGAGGCTGAGGACACGTCTACTCCAACCTGATCCCACAATGCACCACTTCCTCCAGGTGATCATTTGGGGATGATGTTGTGCTCTTAGCTAATCTGAGAGCTCTGACTTCCTGCTGGAGCTCCCAGACAGGAAGTCAGCTGTCTCAGACTTTGGCACAATCCCAATACTCGCACTGCAGAGTCAGAAAAGTGCACTTGGAGAAAGTGCGTGGTTCACAAGTGTGCAGAAAATTGCCAAATTGAGACAGGGAGAATTGCCTCGTGGACCGCAACGCATGCTGGTCGCTGTGTTTCGTTTTTTATACAAACCTTTATTAACAACTTTCAGACAAACAACCAAACATTTACTTTAAATGAATTTACATTCGTTGCTGCTTTGTCTGAAACATTCAGAGCATCATTTACTCATCCTAAAACGAGTTACTTTCATTAGAAAATACATATTTTCAGAAAAGGCACTTGAGCATTTTCTCCCGCAGCAATGGATTGTGGGTAATACATTTCACCCAAGTCTGCATCGATGTGGACTTGGGTGAAATGCGGCTCGAGGGTGCAAAAGGGGCGTGATCGACTTCATACAGAATCAGACTCGGAGGCGAGGTGAAAGGAAAATAAATAATAATTTTATTAAATGATGAGGAGAACTGAGGGCGCACTGGTGATCCAGCGGAAGGTGAAAACAGGAAGCGGCAACTAGAGGGAAACCAGAGGTGAGTACTGGGATTTGTAGTTCAAAGCGAATGTTTGTAGGCAGAACTTACAATGCGGAAGTTCGGGATGAATGTGGAGGGGGGATGAGCCGGGGTGATATCCAGAGGAGGATTGTTGTAATCCAAGTGGGTGAGTGGAATGGAAGAGGATGATGATTATGAGGAAGCGGAGAGGGAGCGTGATAACGGTGGAGAGCGGGACGGCAGAGAGGAGTAGGAGTCCAGGAAGCGAACCGGTGAATAATCCTTTCTTGCAGAGACGTGTGAGGATCCAGAGATGCAGGAAGCCTGAGGGTAAGTATCCAAGAAAAAAACGAGTTCGAGTTAAACGGGTTCAAAAAAATCTTACAAAGTCAAAACGAAGTTCAAAGTCACGAAGGTCTAGAGACTAGCAGTCAGTAGTTAATCATCCGGCGTCGGGTCAGGATAGCCGTCCTCCTTTTAAAGCCGCCCCACTGATCAGGCTGATGAAGATCAGCTGCGCTCCCTCTCCTGCAGGCAAAAACTCGTAGATGGTGAGATGATGGGCAGAGCACTCACCCCGGCTCACGACACCTCACTTCGGGACACCTCACGCCAGGGGTGCCCAGTCCTGGTCCTGGGGGGCCGGTATCCTGCATGTTTTAGTTTGAACCTGATTTCAATCAGCAGCTAATTAACAGGCCTCTGCAGAGCCTGATGAGCGGCAGCGCTGGTGTTTCAGCCACTGAATCAAGTCTATTGGAGCAGAAGAACTACAAAACCTGCTGGATACCGGCCCTCCAGGACCAGGATTGAGCATCCCTGCCCTACGCACTCGCACCCCTGGTTGGGGGTCGCACAACTGAGGGGCGAAAGGGTGGAAATGCGAGTATTGGGATTGGGCCTTTTTGTCTGAGGGCGGTAACTTCCTGTCTGAGACGGACCCGCCCCTCACCTGGCGATTCGCCGGCTCCCTGAGACCCTGACGAGGAGGAAGCTGCTCAGACAAAAGATGATTTTGTTCCTTAACAAGTTTAAAAGTGGCTTCTGTGAAATTTTTAAACGAGTCATTCACTTGTTTTCCAAAATAAATCGGCTGTTCTCCAGTTTGAATGAATGTCGTGTGAGTCGTCTTCTGTGGGGGAAACAAAGCTCCGGCGTTCCTGTTTCAGAGGGTGGGGCAGAGCTTTGCTTGTAGAACATTTATAACATTTAATTTATTTTCATAGTCTGGTTTATTAAAAAATAAAACCGATTTTAACTCGTAAACGGAACTTTTTTTATTTACAACACGGAGCAGAAATAACGGGTCATGTGTGGTGTAACATAAACACATGTTACGTTTGATAAGCGTCCTCGTGCACCGTGGTGAGCGCGATGCCTCCACCATCTTTGGTAAATGGGTTAGGGTTCGTCTCCATTATCAGCCTGGGGTTCAACACTCTTCATCCTCAGTGCTTCTCATCATCCTCACCTGTGTATCGTCTGACTTTTGTGACGTGCACTTTGCAGGAATTCTGTTATTTCCAGTTGTCCCCTTTGCCAGAATCAAAGTAGAATTCCAGTGAAATTACAAACATGTTCCTGTTGGAAGAGATTCCCATCTGACGGGTGCTTAAAAAGTCTCAAAAAGACTCGAATTTGCTTTTCCAAATTTAAGGCATTAAAAATGACAAATAATCCTTAAATCCAGTTTCCGAAGGTCTTAAATTACCAAAGACCCAATAAACAAAATTCTTTTGTTTCTATAAAGTTTTTGTGAATTTCTAGTTGGTGTTCAGCGTTTTTTGTGTACGATGTTGGCGTAAGCGGAACCGTACACATTCAGCTGGTTGTGAAAGGGGGCTATTTTTAGATGAGCACATTAGCTGGTTAAGCTAGTTGGAGCTTGCGCCATGGGGAAGTGCAAGTTTAATGGTAACTGGATGGCTAATCCCACATTCGCGACATGGTTAGCACCGGTTCCAGGCAATAGCTGGAAATTATAGCTTAAATTTGGTCAAAGTGGCCTTAAAAAAGGTCTTAAAGTCTTAAATTTAGCTCCCTACCTGTCCTTCCTCCTCATCATCTCATCTGTTGAATCCTTTCTGCCCAGCTCAACCCTCGGCTTCCCTAAAGCATGAAAAACTTAATCATTCTCCCTCTCCTGATAATAACATTTTACTCTCTTTGACGTTGGATGTGCTACTACTAGTTTACCCGTTTAATTATAGATCCACTAGGATAAATACAATAAAGTTTATCTCTCACCAAATAGAATATTTACTAAGATATCACAATGTATCTATAGACACTACTTGGTGTGGATGTGTGTGTGTGTGTGTGTGTTTCTGCTCTGTCTTCTACATCCCAAGTGAGTCGTGGTGGATGGCTGCTTATGCACATCCTGAGCTCCTTCAAAGAAATCCCCTACCATCTGTATGCAGATGACATCCAACTGTACATCTCCTTTAAGCCCCATGAGATGTCTAAGCTGCAGCTGTTACACACCTGCTTAGACTCTATCAAAACCTGGATGGTGGGAGCTTTCTTCAGCTGAATGAAGATAAGACTGAGATCCTCATCTGTGCCCCAGACAAGCTGGTTCCCAAAGTCAGAGACTCTCTTGGTCAGCTTGCTTCCTACACCAAACCTTCTGTCAGGAATCTTGGTGTGACCTTTGACCCAGCTCTCACCCTGGATTCTCATGTCAGTTCTCTTGTTGGCTCTTCCTTCTTCCATCTCAGGAACGTTGCTAAGCTGAGTCCCATTCTGTCTCGCTCTGAACTTGAGACAGTTCTCCACACCTTCATCTCCTCACGCTTAGACTACTGTAACTCTCTTTTCACGTGTCTGAGCAGAACCTCCCAGAACCGTCTACAGGTGGTTCAGAACGCCTGTGCTCGGCTTCTGACCAAGTCCTCCAAACACACCCACATCACCCCGCTTATCCTCCAGCTTCACTGGCTGCCAGTCAACTTCAGGGTTCATTTCAAGATCCTGGTTCTGGTCTATAGGGCCTTACATGGACAAGCACCATCTTACATTGGTGATCTTCTCAGTCCCTACACCCCCAGCAGGTCCCTGAGGTCCAGTGATCAAAGCCTACTGGTTGTGCAGCACCAGGCTAAAGGTCAAAGGTGACAGATCATCTGCTGCTGTGGCCCCCAGACTCTGGACCTCTCTCCCCCTGAGCCTGAGATCAGTGGACTCAGTGGTCTCCTTTAAAAAGCAGCTGAAGACTCACTTGTTCAAGCTGGCTTTTGTATGACCTTCTTCACCTCTCTCTCTTTATTCTGCTCTCCCCACCTATTCCACCTTCCTCAGGATCCACTGATTTCCCTCTTTCCTGTTCACTCTCTCTCTTTCTTAACATTTTTTAATCACATTTGTCTATTTTTGCTCATTTTAAATTAGGGCTGAAACGATTCCTCGAGTACCTCGAATAATTCGAGTACAAAAAATCCTCGAGTCAAATTCTCTGCCTCGAGGATTCGTTTAATTCATATTTAATTAATTCATGGCTTTGCAGTCGCCCGTGGTCATGTTTCACCCGGACTGAAATAAGTGACGCACATGCCCACTGGACTGAATCGCACACGCGAGTAGGGAATGTAACTTAACTTTATCTTAAGCTATGGCGGACAACGTGGACCCCGGTGGAGTGCGAAAAAGACAGAAAATGTCAAGATGTGGGACCATTTTTCACGTCGTAAGGTGGAAATTGTAGTCCAGTGAAAATACTGTAAAATGGATTTAGCCTAGCACAACACCACATCCTCCATGCTGCAGCACATGTAAATGTCACTTCTGCAAGCGGACTCGGAGCCTCTACAAGATAATGCTTTTTAGCCTGTATTTCTATATATTCTGCGGACACTGTGCGACTTTTTCGTTTGTAGCACTCAAGTTTCAGCTCACACCGTACGTCTGGTAGCAACACGTCGGACTTAAAATGTGCTAAAAAATAGCATTTTTACACAGAACGTCGGACTTTTTATTGTGTTGTTATTGATATTTGTTGTCCCTCGGGATTGCTGCAGGATTACTGGTATTTATAAGAGGAAAACGAAAGAAAGTAAATAAATGTTTTGTGATCAGTATAATTTGACAAAACCACGGCAAACATGCTTTCTCGACAATCCTTGTCATTGCGTGAGAAAAAAAGTGTTGAAATTAAAACGGACGTGTGTTAATAGGGAAACAGCCGGCGAGCTGTTTGCGCATGCGCCGTGAGCGGTTCTGGTTCTGTTTGGGCCGCAGCCGCCCGCAGCGCTACGTCAACAGTTATCCTCTGGCTTGCAGGCTAGCAGATTCTCGCACGAGGGGAAAATCGGCTCAGGTTGTGTACTTATTTTTTGCACAGGCATTTGTTTACTGTGAAGTAAAGTTGAAGTGCTGAAGTTTTGCAAACTAATTTTGAAAAAAACTTGAAGAATAACTGGCAACTGCTTGCTCATTTTAAGAGGTCTTTCATAATTATAACATGCTATTTGATATAATGGTTTACAAACACAAAGGGGTAATTTATTAGAGTACTCGATTAATCGAAAAAAATATTCGATTGAGTACTCGATTACAAAAATATTCGATAGCTGCAGCCCTATTTTAAATATATTTTAACCAGTTCCTAAATGCTTTTTAATATTTTTGCACTTTTTATTTTTGTGAAGCGCCTCGTGATTTTTAACTTGAGAGGCGCTATAGAAATGATATTTTCTTCTTCTTCTGCTTATACTGAGCCAGGATCCTCTGGAGGTTTCTTCCTGTTAAAAGGGAGTTTTCCTCTCCACTGTCGCTATATGCTTGCTTAGTATGAGGATTGCTGTATAGTCAACTGACACTAGTCAGTGACTTGATGCAACCTGCTGGGTTCCTTATATAGGAAACATTATTTCTGATTGGCTTAATGAACTGACCTGAATTGGAATGTTTATGCCTTGAGACAACTCTTGTCGTGATTTGGCGCTTTATAAATAAATTTGAATTGAAAACGGTGACATTAGCAAGTCCCGCTGTCTCCTACTAAGTTATTGATAATCTGTTTTTCATAAAATGTAGACGGTTCTCAGATCTCTCGCCTGGAGGACTTGTCTCCTAGCCTGGCAAGCCAGACTAAATAAATGTATTATTTAAAACTTTGCAAAGCAAGAATTTGGTCTAGTTCACTAGGCTACTTGTCCCCCTCCCCCCCCCCCCCCCCCCCCCGAGAGTCTGGATCTGTCCTCACCAGTCCAGCTGCTGTAGTTACAGGTGGTCTCCAGTGGGTGGAGCTCTTCTCATTCATTCGGGAAATCAAACGTATTAAATCTGATTGGATTAAATGTATTTAACAGAAAACTTAAATGTTAATTTTTGAAGCTGGAAACATTTGAATAAAACGTGCATTAGAGTGGAACCCTGGATCTGCTGCAGCAGACGGAACCGGAGTAGAACCTTGTTACTCATGTAGGACGGGCCGGATCAGAACATCCAAACCCGGGTCAGCAGGATGGAACTCTCACGATTTTCCAGAAAATCCGGTTTTCCTACTGAAGGAATTTTACACAGAAAAACATCTGATTGGATTTTTTTATGTGATAAAATATTTTATTTAACAAACTGATGAAATTTGTTTTACCAGAACCCTAAAAAACGATTAAATAAACCACCTTTCCTGTGTTCTAGCTGTGCTCCAGCAGCTGGTTTGTTCCAGTTGAAGCTGATTCGTACTAATTAATCATCTTTTGGTGCTTCGGGCTGAATAAATGAGTCTCTTGCTGCTCATCTTCATCGGGATGATGAAGATGAAAGCAGAGCCGCATTTATCCACCTGCTGCGACGCAAGGACGAGCTTTTAATCTGCATCACAATGTTCCTGCAGCTCCAATCAGCAGCAGGTACACACAAGGTCGCACTCATTGGCCTTGTGACAACATTAGCCCTTTAAATTACACACACACCTACTCACGAGTGTGTGTGTGTGTGTGCACGTGCATGCACACACGCTCTCACACACAAACAGTGCAGTCAGGACCTGTAATAGTCTTGTAGAAACAAAAAGTCACAGTTGGACCTGTCTTCGTCAGCCTCTTCAGGTCAAAGTTCATGAGAGGACATGAGGTCCTTGCAGCAGGCTGACTTTCACATCCCGAGCGT